CGCAATAAACATCCACTTGTTAAATTCATCAAGTAATTATATGTTCAGATTTAGATCATATTGTTTCTTTGCATTAACATTGTTGAAGGGGTAATTTCATAATAACATAACATTTTGTCTTCGCATAGAAAATCAAGGTGGCATGATTTAAAATATATTTTAAAAAAACTGGTTGTAATTTCTGATGGTATTAAAAACAGCTCACCAAATAAACACTTAACATTGTGACACATAAAAGACTGCCACAGAAGGACTTGTAATGGAAACCTAGAGAGCACAGCCTCAGGGCAACAGTGCGATTAAAATAACTGCACCTGATTCATATTAGAATCTCGCTTGAATTGAGTGTTTTACGTAATAGATGCAAAACACATGCTAGCATAATTAGACATAGTTCTATTTTTAGACATAATTATCACATTAATAAAGTATTCATATTGCAATCACGTCAGATTTTATTTCGTAAATGCAGTCACAATATACCTTTCTGCACTACATACATTTATAACTTTAAAACAGTTTGAAGAGGTTAAAACAGAGGAATATTTCTTGATCAAAGCAATGCATGTCACATGAACAGGAGAGCAGGCCATATCCACTATGACATGTTTATGTTTATGTTTATTAAGGATCCCCATTAGCTTTTGCTCTCAACAAAAGCTACTCTTCCTGGGGTCCGACACTTAAAACAATACAACAATAATACAGCAACATTTAGGACATAAGTCCTGACATCATTAACATTAATTATTTATGTTATGTATCGCATTGAGAGATGCCAACTGAATTTCGTTGCACTGATGTGTGATGACAATAAAGATATATTCTATTCTATTCTATTCTAACATCACCAATATCATCAACAACATGCGATCAAATTCAATTAGGGTTCACAGCTCACAAGGGTACATGGTCATTAGTAGATGGCCCTTCAATCTCTTCTTGAAAGAGGCTCTGGACTCTATTTCAGCAAGGTAGTTTGGCAATGAGTTCCATTCCTTTATAGCTCTATAAGACACAGAAGAGTTCAGGAGATGTGTCCTGGGTTTAGGTGCCAGCAGATGGCCTGATGTAGCTTGTCTAGTCTTATGGTCATGCTCGTCTCTTGTGTAAACTATTTGATCATAAAAATACAGTGTTTTTTTGCTAAATTGGATTTTTTTAGAAAAGTGATAACACGAGATTGCAGACGTTTCTCAACTGGAAGCCATGATAGGTTTCTATGCATAACTCCAATATGAGTGCGCTTCGAACAGTGGAGAGCTAGTCTGGCAGCCTTGTTTTGAGCTATTTGTAATTTCTGTAAATGTGTTTCTGCTGATGACCATATGACCGGACAGTACTCAAGATGTGACAAAACCAGAGACTGAATGACTTGTTTCAAAGTGGTTGGTGTTACATACTTTGTACATTTTCTCGCCACAGCTATGCTCCTTCCCATTTTAGTTACGATACTGTCTATTTGCTTTGTCCACCGTAAACCAGAATCAAGAACAATGCCAAGCAATTTAATCTCGTTTACCTGTTCCACTGGCTGACCAGCCAGCGTCAGGCTTAATTGAGGATTGCTGCTTAACATATGTCTGGATCCGAACACCATTGCCATTGTTTTTGCAATGTTGAGTACCAGTTTGTTATTGTTGACCCAGTCTGCTATGGCTTTAATCTCTATTTTAAGTAGATAGTTTAACTCACTGCATGTTGATGCTGTACTGTACATTGTGGAATCATCAGCATACATTATTACACTGGACTTATTTAATACTTAAGGAAGGTCATTTGTGAATATAGAATACAACAAAGGCCCAAGCGAACTCCCCTGTGGAACCCCACACTGCAACACCTTACTTTCAGAAAAGCTCCCATTGAAAAAGACTCGCTGCCTTCTCCTAGTCAGGTAGCTCTCCATCCAACACATAGCGACAGAACCAAAGCCATAGCATTTGAGTTTGTTCAGCAGCAGACTATGATCGATTACATTGAAAGCTGCGCTAAAGTCTAACATCACAGCTCCTACAAGCCTCTTATCATCCATGCTCTTGAACCAATCGTCGGTCATTTGTGCAAGTGCTGTACTTGTAGAGTGACCATCTCTATAGGCATGTTGGTAGTTCGTTGTCAGATTGTTACTTGAAAAGTAGTATTGAATTTGGGTGTATACTATTTTTTCTATTAATTTACTTAACACTGGGAGGAGACTTATAGGTCGACTATTGGAACCAGCAAAGGTTTTTCTTTTATCCTTGGGTAATGGGATGACCTTGGCTTCCTTCCAGATCTCGGGGCACACGCCTTGCTCTAAGCTTTTATTAAAAATGTGACTCAATGGCTTGGATATGTATTTGGCCGTCATTTTGAGCAGTTTACCATCCAAGTTGTCAATCCCAAGAGATTTATCATCGGACAGATGTAAAAGCATATTTTCAACATATTCTTCTGTAACATTGTGGAATTCAAACATGCACTGCTTTTCCCTCATGATACGATCTTTAATGATGACGTTGTCCTCGACTGCACCCATGGCATTCCTCAGCTTATCTACTTTATTTGTAAAATAATCATTAAAATGATTTGCAATATCTGCTGGCTTGGTAATGAATTTACCCTCGGTTTCTATAAAGGAAGGATGCATGTTTGAGTTCCTCCCCATTATGTTATTCAATATTTTCCATAATTTCTTTCCATCATTCGTAGAATCACTGATTTCCTGCATGTAGTATTCCCTCTTTCTACATATATTCAATTTGGTTACCGCATTTCAGTTTACAGTAATGTTGTTTGTTACATAGAGAACCTGTTCTGTCTGCATTTTTTTAGCATCATCTCGTTGGACCATTAAACTTCTCATCTCGTCATTCAACCAAGGTGCACACTTTGACCGGGCAGACCATTTTCTCATAGAGAATGACATAAACAGGCATTTACAGGATTCATGTGAATAGGGTAAGAGAGCTCCAGGCTGATACGGCTGTAGAGCCTGTCACTGGTTTGAACATATGCCTTCAGTGCCTGACGGCTATGATTTATAGTCAGTGAATGTGAATATAATTTATTGAAAGCCTGCCGTATGCAATTGATCACAGGCTGCCAGCTCAACTTTTTTTACTTTACATGCATGCTATGGAAGCTCAAATAGCCCAACATGTGTGGCACGAGTTATAATTATGGATTCATGTTTTTATTTTCATGAAAAGACATAAACCAGTGGTCACGCACTGTTCAACGATGGATTGATAGTGACACTATTGAAGCCTAACTAATAGCTTTAATGGGTCGCAGTAGCTCAGTGTGTAGGGACTTTGCTTGGGAACTAGATAGTCATTAGCCGCTTTCACACCAAGTACTTTGCCGTACTTAGTTCCCAGCACTTAGTTCCCGGCACTTAGTACCCCCATGGAACTAAGAGCCGATCGCGTTCACACCGGAATAAGTTCCCTGAGGGAAGATTACGCAAATGAAGCCGCTGACGTCACTTCTTCTTCTTCTGCTTTGGGTTTACTGGCAGGCCGCAAACAACTTCACGGCGTATACTGCCACCCGAAGTCCCTGGCCGGAAGTCCCCGGAGTTGGGGACTGGCTTCAGTAGAAGCCTTCCGAGTAAATCGCCAGAACGCTGACACCTCCTCATCACTCCACCGCTCCCATGTTTTATTTTGTGTTGCCATAAGTTATTCTCTCTCCGTTGGTGCGCGGGGCTAATGCTAATAATGCTAATGTCAGCAAATACAATGGCGGCTTCAAAAATCGTTTCCAAGTTTTACGGGGCGCGGTTTGCAATTTGCCCAGCCAATCAGAAATTTGAACTTTATTCTCCCCAGGAAAGTACCACCTCTCTAGCAGGCACTAAAAAGGGGGTAAAAGTTCTCATGAACTAAGTTCTCTTTTTGGTGTGAACGCAAAATCCCAGGAACTATCGGAACTAAACGGGAAAAGTACGGGGAAAAGTACTCAGATGTGAAAGCGCCTATTGGTTCGAATGCCAGTGTGGACCATACAAAAAGATGGGTTGGTGTGGACTGGTAGCAGGAGAGGCACATCCTGGGCCATGCAGAGGCATTGGACATGCAGCCCCTTTACGGTGCGTCCACACGATTCCGTCCCGTTGAAGCTTGCCGGTGGGTGTGTCTGGCGCGCGACCAACAACCAATCACATTAATGTCCTGCCCCGGGCACACAAGCACACGGTTTGATTGGCTAGCGCTTGTACTGGCATATCATTTGATTAGCTGGAGCTTCAGTCTACGCCTGAAAAGTTGAACTTTTCTCAACTTTCAGCGCGAGCAACGGAGGCAAAGCTTGACGTCACCCCATTCAAAGTGAATGGGAAGCGTCTCCGTTGAAGCACGTGACGGAACCGTGTGGACGTTACGTTATTGACACCTTCCCATTTATCATTTAGCAATGCGAGTTTTTCAGCCTTTATGTATATCCTGTTTGCATGTGTGTATACTGAACATCCTAACAGAGGGGAAACTGAATTTCGCCTTGTGGGATCAATAAAGTGTCTTCTTCTTCTTTGTGTACTTTTGTTCCACTACATATATTTAATACCTTTAGTGACTTTACAAATTTAGATTAATGCTGTGATATATAATAAACCCTTACATTTACAAGCTGCCCTGTCCTGCAGTATACAAGGTCATTAAAGTTAGCTGCACTTTTACCAGCTTTGATAACACTTTGTTGCATCAATAATTATAATCAAAACATATACTCTGCAGTGGGCCAATCTGCATACTTTAAGTATATTTTGATGTGAATACTTTTCTACATTTTGATTGCAGGACTTTTACTTGTCAGTCTGAGTATTCCTATTTCCTGGTATTTTACTTAAGTACAATATCTGAGTACTCCCACCTCTTCTTCCACCTTCCAGCACACAGAAGCTGGTGTTTTCCTATCTGAGCTCTCAGCCGTCTCCTTATTGCCAAGGTAGTAAAAGGCTCCTTCATCGTGTCAACTATAAATGTGTGTCTGTGTGAGTGATGCTTTCGGTAGCTATGGAAACCTATCGTAATGCCCCCTCCCCCCACTCGCTGCCTATGTCTCTCTCCCTCCCACCCTCCCTCTCTCCATCCACACCAAAGCTCTTTCGGTTACTTTGCGCATGTACGGCCAGTCAAAGCGAGCATTGCATCGACTCCAAGATGGCGAAAACACGTCTGGCTTGTCTCCTGACTCTCCTCTCAACTCACTGTAAGTACAAAAACCACGCTAACTATATAACTTATTAAACCATTTACTCTTCCAGGAACATGTCCGGCAAATGTTGTTTACTTCTGGCTCTGTTTGCTCGATATTTTCCACCAGCGACAGGCAGAAAATAGCCTGTGAAGTAACCCTATCTGGACGCAACTAACGTTAAACTCAAACTGACAGCAGGACCTGTTTGTTCGACGTTAAGTAAATATAGTTACAAATAGTATTAACGAACATTCGAAAGAGTCACCCTTTTAATACATTACTGTGAACATGGCTTCACTTTTACAGGACGAGTTATATTTGTAAGCGGCTATTGTTGCTTAAATCAGAGGCTTTCTCTAACTCATGTTTTAATGGGAGTAGTGAGGCTCATGTAAAGTGTCTGGATGTTGCCACACATTAGCTTAGCATGACTAACTGAGACAACTGTTTAGCTTCAATTAGCGGCATGTTTAGAGACTGGGCAAACCACCACGTCGTCCTCAAAAGTTGTAACCTCTGAAGTTTGACTTTGTCAATTAAATACGGCAGCTTGGTAGTCCGTGTTGTTAACTATTTAACGTGGGGTTTGGAGCCGCGGTGATGGCAGAGATGTAGAAAGTAGTGATGCGAGATAACGGTTTTTCCTGCGGCGGAATAAAGCAGGCTGTCCGCGGGAGGAGTCAGCCAGCCGTGCAGCGAGGGTCCTCTGCCCCCTCCTCCCGCCGCTGTGGACCCGTTCAAACCGCACTGAGCTGAGCTGCTGGGCACCAACAGCCTGCGGACTAATCAATTCGTTTAGGTATCCCACCATTAAAGACCCCTTAACCTCTGCCATCAGCCCTGAAGGTGGAAGCGATAAACACCTGTAAGATTGTAGCAGTTCATTTTTTGAACACGTGAGCCGAAAATATCAAGTTAGCCAAGCCTATAGGTGCTTTGATGTTAAATGTATGAATAGCAAAGTGATATAACTATTTAGGCGACATATTGTGTATGAAACTAACAAAGGAACACATATGAACTTCTCCGATTTAAATCACACATGTGTTGTAGAAAAGCAAAACGCCACTTGTTGCTGTTATGTAGCGATTTTTTGTTTGACAAATTAAGATTGTTACTCCTCTTTGCTCTTTGCTTCGAGCCTGGCTATTACAGTAAAGCTATAGGCCTACATATTTGATCTATGCCACTTTTTGTCTGAAGTACTGCTTAAATGTGGGAAATCACTTTAAAAATACTAAAGATCATAACTGGGGTATGAGATGTGGTTGGACTGGCCTATACGATATTTAAAATGTAAGATGATAGTCTGTTTAATTGTGTAACCAATGTTTTTGAGATACATTTGACCCTTAACAATGTTACTAAATGCATTTGAGAACTCCATACTCTTTTCCTGTGTATGCATGCATCACTGGGCTTTTGTGCATGGATTTTCTCTCTCGTTTTCAATTGGAGGTAGCAAGGTGTGAGAGGACAGGAATTCCGATCAAAGAGCAGTACATACACACATCTTCCTGTGAACTTTCACATGTGTCAATTGGCTTATTCTCTTGACTTTAATTAGTTATAGCAGTTTGTTTGAAGTCTGTTGCTGTACCTCCAACTGTCCCTCATGATGCACCTCAAAGCTCTGTGCAGGTTTATATTTTTCAAGCGATACATTTCAAAGTCAGCCATTTTAATGATATTACCCTGAGTAAATCTGTGACATGGTGTTGTAGCAGCACAATTGACATTTTCGGGGGGTTGGGGGGTTAGTGAACTGGCGAAGATTTAAGAATTTCTTTTGTCTTGCCTGGACAGGGCTTAGCCATGTGGCCGACTGGCTGCCAGCCAATGCCGACACTGTCTTTAGAAACAGGAGGAATCTGGCATAACTAAACCTTCCCACAAGCCCATTTTATAAATTGCTACTTTGTGCTGACTGTGATAAAAATGTGTACTTGTAAAAGCTCTGCTCCAAATTCAGCTTTTGTTTGTTCACAAAGCAAGTAAGGCATTCAGAGGAAGTGTGCCATTTGCTTCTTATTCTGTAGGTCAAACTCTTGTGTTGTTGTTACTGCGTCTGAGAGATGTGCTTCTTATTTTCAATTCATGATATTCTTTGGTAGCCATCATCTAAATGGCCAGCCATTTTAGGTGAAGGCTGCACCCAGCCCAACTGAACAGAGCTGCAGATATCAGCCCTGTCATCTGTCGGCCGAGTGAAGAGGCTCATGTAAGACTTCACAATCTGATCTAATGGAATGCATTGACATTTTCCATTGTTGGCTTCACCTGAGCCATTTCACTTAGAATATTCCAAAGAAAGTGGTCTGCACTTAGCGAGCCAGAACCCTCCTGCCAAGCTATGTGGGAGCATGGAAGATGCTCAGAGTGGATAAGCACTGCGCTAATATTAACTTTGAGATCCATGCTCCCATACGAAACACCTTTGGACATACATTTCAGACCTTAAATTGCTGCATTTTTTTTGTATTACGTGGGCCAACAACATACAACTTTATCATTTGTATCACAATTAATACCTGGAAAACAGACTTATTACATTCAGGCTTGATTTGTCAGCTTTTCACACTTGCTGAAGTGTGTTAATTGATTTTGTTTCCTTGACAATTGACATTTGTATGACTTGGCATTATCTCTGTTTTCACTCATGGCTGTCAGCCTTATCTTATCCATTAGGATAAAGAGAGCTAAGAGCTGTCTGCTACAGTGTTGTTGAGCCTCCCCTGTGTTTCTGCTAAGTCGTCATTGCCTCACTTGAAAGCTTTGAACATCCGCTAACCCACACATCACTGAGGAGCTCAGTGGGTTGACGTTACCTGGCAGACTTTTTACAACATTTATCTAAATCTGCATTTCTGGCATTGTTTTGCATGTGTGACATAACTGATTGGTATGGCAGGAGTCGGTGTGCGCCCAGATAACAGCAGATAGTGGCTCCTCTAGGAGGTGCATGTTGTCAGATGTTTCCCTCCCCGTTCAAAGCTTGTGAGCAAATGTTTGGAGCACTGGTTGAATGGCATCTATGGCCCCTGTGGGCGAGTCACATACAGTCTGACATTTTACTGAAGAGACAGTAAATGGCAGAGTAAAACAGAGAAAGACAAGCAAAGAAAGAGTCCATTGCTGCTGAGAATTTGTTTGTTAAAAGTCAGGAGTTCTTCCCTCGAGGCACCTCTGAGTGATGTCAGGGGCGAAACATAATTATCATATCTGTCATTTTGGTCTCAGTTTAGATATGACAGCAGGAAGGAATTTGACAGTTATGGGCTTGTTGGTGCTTATCAGAATCAAAATAAGGGTTTTTGCCAAATACCCTGATTTGCTTTGGTATACAGCGGGGCATACATAAACACAGTAAATATAGAACTATTATAAAAAGTATTACACAAGAAATATCCATTTACAAGCAAAAGAACAGCCAGAAATGTGCAAAATAAACTGGAAATTGCAACAGTCACATGTTAAAAATGATTGCCTTACTAAGAGTTGTGTAATTATTTGTACAAAACCACACCCTTTTTGTAATATCAGTGTTTCCCCTGCGATGGAGTCAGAGCAGCGGTGCTAAGGCACGTGGGCCGAGCATAATGTGAGCGTGGAGCGTGTGGAATTTTTTTAATGCGCCCCGCCAATTTGTTTCTATGTGTCTGCCAGCACAAGAAAGGCTCTTGAGGCCTAGTACCAGGGCCGGTTCAAGCCAATTTGCTGCCCGAGGCAAGATTTTATATATAAAGAATAAATGAAAAATCTCTACAAAAGATACACAACAAAAATAGAAACTTATTGACATAGGTAATATACGTCAAAATGGCTTCAAATGTATTCAGTATTGTATGAACATGTTTGAATTGGGGGGTTGGACGTCACATCCTCTAGGGGGGTCCGGGGTTATGTCCCCCGGAAGGATTTTTTTGAACATTTTAAAGTCAAATGCTTCAATCTGGTGCACTTTGAGCACACAATTACTAGAGACCTGATCTAGGGGGTACAACTCTAAAAAAACCCATATGAAAAAGATCGGTTTATATTTTAATAATCAAATAAGTATATGAACATAACCAATAACCTACCATAGCCAATAACAAATAAATGTAACTTATTTTATTTTTGTTGTTCTTTCACATCTTATTTGACCTTGTTAACATTTATTTATTCATGCATATTTTTGTATCTCTCCAACTTTAAACTATTTTTGGTTTACTGCCCTATAGTATACATTGGAATGATTTCAAACCTGTTTTTATTTATCCTAATTATAAAGGAGTGCCTTGGGAAATATGTTTTACATAATTTGTGGTGTTCAAAATGTTTGAGACCCACTGAGATAACTTAGACGAAAATTAACTATCGTAAACACTTCAAGAGTCCCTTTACCCTCACTGAGCTCTCAGTCTAACAGGAGAGCTCTTCCTCCCACCCTGGTGGTAGAAACATCTATCTACTTCTTATATCCGTTAGCGCAGCTAGCACACCAGATTCTAATAACATAGATAAAGGAGTCTATCAGTAGTAGAGATCTAGTGAGAGAGTAGAGATGAGACTATGCGGATATCCTCTACAGCTCTCTCTATCTCTCTATCGTCTTCTCTCTCTCTGTCTCTCTCTCTAGATTACTCCTATCTCATCTCTCTCTCTCTCTCTCTCTCTCTCTCTCTCTCTCTCTCTCTCTCTCTCTCTCTCTCTCTCTCTCTCTCACTCGCACTTTGGCTGTGAGCTGGGGGCGCCTGATAAGCCATTATCCCCCACTTTCATCACTTACTTCATCAGGGCAAATGAAAAGTGTAACCGGGGTGAAAAGGGTGTTACATTTACTTGATTATGATTGTTGTTACATCAAGGCCGAAAATTAGGATGAGCGCCAACGGTTAAAAAAAAAAAAATTCCCCTCCCAGAGCTACCAGCGCAGCGCCCCCCAGATCTGGCGCCTTAGGCGATCACCTATGTCGCCTATGCCAAAAATCGGCCCTGCCAAGTACATACAGTGGCAACGTCTCACGATT